AACCCATTTGGAACCTACATTTTTCGGAAAGGACACTCGGGAAAACTATCAGAGCTAGTTATATGCCTAGAAACCATAAAAACAAAGAAAGTAATGGCATAAGAAATGACCGTGGTAAGAAGCAGCACAAGAGCAGCGAGAATTTCTGCAGACTCCACCATGCAAACAAGGTCCTGACTTCCCCTCATCGTCTTCTGTACATACACGCATTTCACAATAATCACCTAAAAATAAATGCGAACGATAACATTCTGAACATATGAATATTAAAGGCAGTGGGCACGATTGCTGGAGGTGGGCGATTGTTTTCAGCGTCACTGGTTCCAGACTCGGCGAGGGCACGTCTGGAGACACACCACTCAGTCCTTCCACCAATGACGTGGGCGACAACTGCCCGCCCCCAGCCATCGTACCCACAGCCTTTGGAAGAATTTAGGGCTGGAAAACCTACCTGTAAAACCTCGGTCACAGATACACTGGCTATTTTGACAAGACCCATGAGAATTGCAGTTGTAAGGGCATCTAAAACAGATGTATCAGAAAGGAAGGCACTAACTTATAACTTACGCGCTGCGCATTATTTTTAGAGTCTTGTTCGCTCTGTGAATCTCAAAATAGTACACCACTGTACCACGCTATACCACAGTAATATTTCAGCCGAGCAACTGGAACGTATGATCCCCTAGGTTCATTGCACCCTTAGGTCCAGGGAAAATTTGGACTTATTCCGTTTAATCCCATCGATTTCTGCTCGCGTCTGCGCTCTCTCGTCTCATGTATAATGATCACTGTATCCTCACCAATTACAACTGCTCTGATGTATGGTGATTGGCCCCACTTCGGAATCACTCGGCTTGGGCCACTTTCCTGGCTCAAGAAAAAAAAAGAACAAATGGTCAGGTAACCCTTTAAATTATAACAAGGCACTCCAAGAAGTAAGGCTGCTACATAGTTGCATACTGCTGTTCTTGAAAGAGAAAAGAACTTACCTTTCAAACTCGTATGTAATATTGAACCCGCTTAAATTCATCGCCAAATCACTGAAGAAATAAATTAGTGCTTTACCAGACGGAGCGCTCAGCTCTTGCACTTCTTGTTCACCACTGAAAAAAACCCAAGTATTCAATCTATTTATACAACACCTTCATTCTGAATAAAAAAAAGTTCAACAAAGTAGCTTACCAAAAAGCTGCAAGCTGTTCACCATAGACACCATCACCATCGTAGATATACACGAAATCCCAACCACACTCCGTTTGGAAACTCTCAAGTCGGATGTTCAAAGGTGCTCCAACCTTCTGCAATATTCAAGAAGATTCGTACAATTCTGAAAACGAAAAAGTGCACAACACAGGTTACTATACCTTCTCGCTCTCGATTACCCAAGTGCATTTGGAAGAAGGACTGTAGTCGAGAGGACCGTCAATGAGGTGGCTGTGGTTTTCAGTCACCCTGAAATGAAACGTTAGCAGAGCTAAAGAGGTGGTAAGGGCTGTGTTATACTTTGCGACACTGTGGAGTGGGAGAAATGCATGTTGGTGGAAAAAAGCGCGCCTAAAGGAGTTGAATTAGGCGAATCGAAGCGATTCTAATCTCTTATTCTATTACTTTCTCATTCATATGCGACTGGAGTCATCTAATCCTTTAACGGCGCAATTCTCTTCAACTCACGCACTTCGACAGTTTTTCCGCTACGGTACCACATCGCCGACTGATACTTAACATTCCTTTAGCATTCCCTGATTCTTCGGTACACCTATCGCACAATGTCGGCCAAACGATATACGGCAGTGTTCAAATTATGCGACACTGGAATATCGAAGAAAGCGCGAGCAAAAGGAGGAGGGCCAAGGAAATTAATGATCGAAAATGCTGCGGTTATGGATTGTGTGATTACTCAGAACACTTTGCCACGCCTGGTCGTGAGACCCCTTCATCGCAAAAGCTTGAAGTTTGGAGCACCAAAAGTGCAAAGGAACAATGATGAACCGTGGATAACCCCTTCTGAACGGCATGGATTCCATGATGAGAGCTGCTTTGAGCAGCGTTCAGACTGAGTTGACACGCTGCAAGACAGGTAGGGCTGCGTTCATATGTACCGTTGCGGCGAAGCGCTCACCAGCGACCAACTAACGTTCCGAGCGTACGGTAGCGTCAGCGACTAGAGAAAGCATAGATATCGATCTAGCATCTGTCAGCGTCTAGCAGCGTTCATTAGGAGTAGAGTGCATGGGGAAGTAGGAGGGTAGCAAAGAGCTGGATTAGCGTGAAATCGCGGTGAGTGCAGCTGCACTTCTACAACTAACATACGCACATCTAATTGCACAATTCTGTGCTTTAGCAGTTGTATGGTGTGGGTGCACGCGCTGCAATTTCACGACGCCTAATCCAGCTGTTTGCTACCCTAAGTTCTTCGCCCATCCTCTTCACTCCTGGTCGCTGGAACGATGCCAAACGCTAGATCGATGTTATACTTCCCTAACCCTCGAGACGCTGGTAGACGCTCTGCAAAGTATGAACGCAGCCTAACGCGTTAGCGCGTGCGTCGACGCGCTATCATCGCAACACTGTTCGCACTATAGATTGGGAGTCACTGACGGGTACCAACTAGTCTAGCCGCGTGCACGTTGCCTGTTCACACAGTCTGACATCGACAGTGCGTTGCTGCGTGTCGTCGCGTGGTCAGAACGCTGCTTTAAATTCCCTAAAAAATCGGAACGCGGGAGGTTGCAGTTATAAAAGAATGCCAAATAAACAAGAAAGCGCAGGTAGGAGCAGACAGTTGACGAGACTGTAGTAGTTGACCCACCAAAGGGTTATATCTCAATTGATGGACTCCCCCTACGCGCCAACCGGAAGAATCGGATTGCATAAATATCACCCTAACTCTGTGGCGCGCATTCTTCAGTTAATCAGTGTTGCAAAGTATGAACTGAGCCTACACTGCCAGATCAAGTTTTCCATTTCAAAGGATTATTAGGCGTAGTACTTTTGCATGGCGGTACAATGCACAAAAAAGTTCTCAAATATACCAAATATGAAGGCGAGGGTCAAGAAATTGACTCACTTTATGCGTCCGTAGCAATGATCACACTGACTTCCAACCCAACCCTTTGAACACACGCATGAACCATTTAGACATACGCCATTATAGCAATGTCGGTCACACGACGTTGAGAGAGACTGTAAAAAAAACATTTTAGGGGATAATTATTACCAAATCATCTCATTAAGCCACTACAGTTCGTACGTTCACCTGAAGAATGTTCTAGCTATAGGGCGGGGGCGGGCTCGTTCGTTTATGTGTCCTGGAGGCGCCCACAAAAGGACGAGTTGCATGCCGCAATTAATTACCGTGTCGCTACTCGTGGCTTCACATGGCGGTTCCATGTGGTGTCCTTCGGGGAATTCCAAGTGCGTCCACTTGACCACTCACACTCAACCTTCTTTCAGGACTTTTTCATAAAAGGTCACATGCAGCAAGATGGGAACCACTTTTGTGCTGGTTCAGTTCAGCGATGATTCTATTGAAGTGGTGCAGTAGTTTGTCGAATAATCCCAACTTCGCACGAGTTTGCCAAAGTTATAATATTTCAGAAACCCATTATACGCGTTTCTCAGATTTATAAATGCAGAATGACATGTGCTAGGGGATGCGAAGAAACGGTTGTGAACCAGGGAGTGCGCAGATGTGTCAGTGGTATCGATTTGTTGGCATGAAACCAGCGAGTCCGGAAAACTCGTACAATCTGGCATCGTTTAGGGGTTTCTGCCGCTTCTTCTTTTCTTTTGTCTTCACTGTCATGACTACTGGTCCCTACACTTTCGTTTTCGAACGTTCCTACTCACATCTTGCAAACGCGGACAATGTCTCCAGGTAACACTACAAAAACTCGTACCAAAAGTGTGTCATCCATACGCACGCCAGCTAATTCTGTGCATTTCAATTATCTTGAAATCATGTTGAATACTCAGTTCTGTGATTTTTCATCCATAATACTGTATTTACAACACAGCCAATGGTTCCTACCTTTTCTAGGTCGAAGTTCGCCTGATTGGCAATCACTAACAATGGAATAAACAGCGATGTGAACACGATATGTGGCCATTGAAAAGGGAATGGGTTGGTCCCACGACGAACGAATAACATCACTCACACATTGAGAACAGTCTGAATTTGCATGCATATTACATGGAAATTACCGATTAAAAATGGTATGAGAAGGCGGCACAAGGACCGGACTGCAAAGGTGATCGAAAAGAATCGAAATTATACAAAGAGAAGGGAGAGATGGCAAGATACAGTACCGGAGCGTTGGAAATAACCTCAAAGAACAGGACTGATATGAAAGTTAATGCTTAGAACACATGAAGAGAGAAATAGAAGCATTGGGCCTCAAATCACTAAATTTTCTGGAATTGTAAAACAGAAATGGTACAACAGAAGCTGCTACCTGAAGTTCCAACAACAGCGCGAACCAACCCAACACCGGGTAGATCACAAGGTCAGGTTAGGGCAACAGAAACCCCAAAATGCAGTACGTGGCCACAGTTGCAGGCTAAAACATATCCATTTTGTCTACGAGTATCTCGTTTATATGCTTATTCCGGGATAAATTAAAGGATAACGCTAACTGCACACAAGGAGAACGGAATGAGTCACTCAAAATGGATTGCCAGGGCAGGATCACGAAGTTTAGTGGGATATCCCTTAGTTTGGTGCAGATTTCATTGGCTACAAAGGCCTAATATATACGATTCAGAGAAAAGACATAAGCATAGTGAGTATACCCAACTAACAAGTTAATCTTTTCGGTAAATACTACGGAAGCAAACTAGGCAGCGAAATTGATGAGTCGCATAGCCACAGCAGGTTGTGGAACATACGCGTCGCAACCGCACGCCTATTAGTGAACCGACTTGAAAGGTGGTGCGATAACTACTAATGCTTCACTCTGTGACTATATTTCAGGAGATTAAACAGTACAGGTAGATGGGAGGTTATCCTGTTATAGAATGACTGCAGGACTGATCACTGATCAGGGTTATTCTGCATTCAACGTGGGTGGTCTTACTAACAGCTTCCCGCAAGGAAACATTACGTTGAACCAGGATAACAGCGGCTTCTTCTGCTTGAATGCTCTGACTGAGTAGTACCTCAGGCCCTAATGAAAGACTAGCGGCCTCTGGTTTTGCACTGGTTCCATTGCATCGTCCAGGCTGACTCAGGTAGTGGTAAAGAAGAGGCAGTAGAGCGCGCCCTAGTGATAACAACCGCGCCCCCATGACAAAATACTTCACGGTGGTCTAGTTTTTGTGCCGGACTGTTGGCGGCAGAACCTGTCATTGTCTAGTGTGCAATATTTTTAATTATTACCTACCATTTCGCTAAAATGTTGAAGTATTAAGCTCACAGCGCATCCTCTTCATTGGGGAATCCCTCGTCGGACGAAATGCGCTCTCAAACGAAATCCTAGCGGACCGCATAGAGACCCGCACTAATCAGCTCCTGATCCGCCCCGATCAAAAGACTAGGATCTCGCAAATAATGCTCATATAACAAACCGCTAGTTATTAATTCAATGGCTACCTGTTATGACCATGTTAAGGCGCTTATAATCCAGGATACATGCAGCTCGCAGGGTTCCGGGCCCAGTCGATCTTTGAAGCTTGTGCGTTAATGATGTTTCAAGATCATTTCCGATGAAACCAATTTACAATGTACCATAGTTTCTGGGCTATAAGCCGCATTTAATTCAAGCTTGTAGCTATGCGTCGCGCAATCGCACGCCAAAAAGTTTTAACCGACATTGCAATTTGTCTTCCTTGCAAACATTTGGTCCTGCTTCTCTGCCCCACCATACTATTCAAATATTTCAGGTGTCTGCAAATAACATTGAAGACACACTTGCTAGTTAAAACCACTATATATTTCTCGTTATAATAGAGGGTCAAGAAGAGTTTTTCGCTGAGAGAATATATGAGGGGGATCTTGCAATAGTTTGAAACCAACTAACATTGAAATAATTTGAGCTTTTTTTTGACCATTCAGGCTCTTGACCAGGCGAAGACGCGAAAACGAGACGTTCATAAAGTTGCTCAAATCTTTGGAATAGCTAAGAAGAACCATCGCCCTACATCATGCCAAGATTGGAAGAAAGTCGAACATGGACAGTTCTAAGAAACTTCTTGTGCGAAACTGCTTATACCGTACTTCAACGTACTAATGCACCAAATGCCCCATTGTACTACCCTGGCACCCATTTTCTAATTAAAACATAACAAGACTATTTCATCAGAAATGGCCGATGACGCAGAATTAGTACTTGGTAAAACAATTGGTAGTTGAGCAGAACGAAACCAGAAATGTCACGGTGTGAATAGTTCTAATGGAGCCTTTCCAGGATTACTGCACACTTTTTATTCTGCTTCGGCCTAGGTTTCGGCTCTTCGGGGCCCTAAAAACTGTAAGCAATCTGTAAAAATATGTTCGATAGGAACGTAGCGCTTTTCCGTGAGAAACGTTCGCGGCATTCAAGGTTAGGGTGCGGCTTATACGCGGGATGGCTTATATACGGGAATTTTGTAGCAGTGTCACTTCGGCCTACAGTTTTTACCTTGCTGGTGATTCTTTAGAACGATTTTAGCCCAATGGTCTTCTTAGCCCGTTCAGTATAGCATCAAGCAATGCGTCATGGGCGTCGATTGTCGCCATGACTCATAATGTCCGCAATGATTTCGCAACTCAGAGAACTAAAGTCTGGTGGAACACCTAGCATTTTTCAATTTTGTTTGTTTATTGTTTCGCATTTATTTATGTCTTCATAATGTTCATAAATACGATCTTGTTGATGAACATTTCGCCGATTTGGATCGGCTTGGGGGGGCATTTCGCCCATTCGCTGCTTCTCAGTTTTATGTTCATTGTTTCACTAGAGTTGGCAGATACTCTTTATGAAGGTCGACAAGTAGTTTCTGCAAACTATTACTGGTGTCACTTCGTGGGTTCACGAGTTTTCACAAATCTCTACTTAATAGCTCGACATGATAATGGGAAGTAACGCAAGTGCGAAATGCCCACCCCCCCCCAAGCCGAAGTATGCCGGAAATTATATGATTCACATGAGTTCATTTTTAGGGAGGCGCAGTGGCGTACATGCGGAATGCTGAAGTTCTTTCTGCAAAAGTCGAGCCCAGAAGTGCATGAAGATGTGGTGTCTGATTACCTAGACTTTCGACAGGTAATTTATTGTCTAATTTGGTCTTTAACGTGAATTATGTTTTAGTACTGCACTATTTTCAATAATTTATTAGTGCATTTTTAGACAGTTCGTCATGGTTTTCCTTCTCGTATATCATGTTTCGCCTATGACCATGTGCTGAAGATCCTTGTCGTTGGAAATCACGATGGTGACTTGAATATGTGAGAAATTCTAACTTTTTTCCGCATTTCGGCGTTAGCCCAATTTCCCGGGCCATTTTGTTAAGTCTTGTAAATGTGCTGGTTTCGGTGCAGTCCTGGCGCAGGTTTCATTTTCTCGCCATTCCATCGATTTTTTGCATTCGAGGATGCATTTATTGGTGGAATGCGAAGGAATGATTCTGAGCCAGAGAAAACGATATTTTTCTGGACACCAGGAACAGGAGCAACTCTGGAGAGAAAAGCCGATTGTTTATCGTGGACTCACGGGACTTTACAGTGTGATCTGATAATTGGGCCAGTTTCCTTATTTGTGAGTAGTAGTAGTTGGTTAATGCTGAGCGCGAAAAGAGCTCACGATCCACGTCAGAGACGCAGTATTCATCAGTGAAATGAAAAACATTTTGGGAAACTTGTAGTTAGGATGGGATCACTGAGCCACTGCCGTTTTATCTTTCGCGTCAAAAAGGCTTTCGCGTAAGAGTTGGCAGACGACAGCAGTTGGCCGAGAGAAAGTGCGTGCAAGGGAAGGTATAGACTTTAGCTAGGCTGAAGTGATTAGGGAAGGTTTCGGAGACGCTCCTCTGAGTGAGTGGTGCGTGCGTTTCTCGCCATCCAACTCTTTGCAGAGGCCGAAGCGTCGAGAAGTTTAGCTTAGTTTTGGAATTCGGCAATGATTTTGGCGCTAATCAGTTGGTTGGAGGAGGGAGGAAGGAGTATGAAGAAGGAACGCGCCATGGCAAGTTTTGTTCTGCGAATTTGGGGACTCCGTTCAGGTGGGCTCCTTAATTGAAAAAAAAGAATAAATGCATTGAATACTGCCTAATGCCACAGATTGTTTCGCCCTACATCGGACGAACCACTGTTTCAAAATTAAGCGGCTTAAGAAGAGAAGTTGCCGTATTCTCGGCCACGTACACTCCATATTCAGCGGCGCTACCCTGAAAGTGTCGGCTTTTTGGCGTTTATGCTAAGATGCAACGAAACAGGTGCTCAACGAAGAGTACAGCACGGATGGAGGGGCGGCAGACTAAGACGCGCGTTTTGGCGCATGGCAAGAGTGCGTGGCGGCAGCGCAAGACTGGAGGCACGGTGTCGTTCCCGAGGGGGGGGGATTATCACTACGCTCTACGGCAAGTTATGCAATATTTGAGCGGAAAAGGTGGCACGCTCCCTGCAGGCTGCGAACCATCCTCCCCTCACATGGAGCAGTCCTTGTCATGTGAGGGGAGAAGTGAGAGTACAGTTGAGCTATCTATCGGGGATTTTCTCTTGGGTTTTCTCTAGATTATCATTATTACGATCACTTTTCAGATATGGAGGTGGTGGATTTATATGGACTGCTGAAATTCCGGGTAAAAAAGGCTTGGGTAAAAGTGCTGCTCACATGTATTTCGCTTGTGGCCTTGGAGTGTTAATTTAGTTTTATGTCGAGATTCCACGTTTGTACGATTTTCCATAAAAGGTATGTACAAAGGGTGTTACTTTTGTAAATCATTTAGAATAACTCAATGAATTGCAGGTGCCGAGTTAACCGCTCGATCGGTTTTGCATGAAACGAGATTGAAGAAGATTACTAGTTGTTGCATGCTCCAACGAGCAAATGTTCATGATCTGTTCTCCTGCATAGTAAGTCGGTTGCTTTCTCGTCTTTAGCTGGTAATGGTACATTGATTGTGGCATTTATATTCTAGCGTTTTCAAATTCGGCTGGTGTGAAGCCAGGCACATGTTGTACTCTGAGGGTTAGAGAGCGCACTGTAGGCGCTTTTGCTTGCAAAGCTATCGTGTCACATGTAAGCGGAGGAGGGGGGGTCCATGACTATAGTATGTGGAACTTTCGCTTATGGGTAAGCGCGGAACGTGCTGGAAGATACCATTGTTCGCTTAAAATTCGACGCGTGATATGGCAGCGCTAAACGGTATCTACACGTTCGCTGGGCGGGACGCTAGGAGAATAAGGCTTAAGCGCAGCGAGACGGCCTGTGTACGGGCTGCGGAGTCAACTGTGGAGCCGGCCGCAAAAACGCTAGAGGGCTCAGACGTGGTTAAGCGTGTGACTGCGTGCTGCGTATCGCGTGAGTTGTGACTCTACTCGTCGTCGGTGTTGAATGGTGGCGTTGACATAAAGAAAGCCCTCTTATAATACCTGTTCCGCTTCATTTGCGCCATGTTTCTTAACGCCAAGTAGCTTTTTAAACTTACTCTACCAGCTTGACTCCTTCTTCATAAGGGCAGAATCGCGCTTTACAGGTGCCGAAAGAATGTTTCTGAGCCAGAGAAAACGATATTTTCTGACACCAGAACAGCGGGCAACTCCTGGAGAGAAAGCGATGCTTTGCTGCCAAGGTAGTACTTATTCGTGAGCAAGTAGTCACGTCCGGAGCCTTTACAAAGTTCTGCAGGACTTTTCTACAATGACACAATGGACTCTCTACGGGACTTTACTGTGATCTGATAATTGGGCCAGTTTCCTTATTTTGTAGTAGAGCTATAGTAGATTGGGTTAATGCTGAGCGCGAAAAGAGCTCACGATCCACGTCAGAGACGCAGTATTCATCAGTGAAATGAAAAACATCGGGCACTCGTAGTTAGGAGGGACCACTCAGCCATGCCGTTGTGTCTTTTCCTCAAAAAGGCTTTCGCTAAGAGTGCAGACGACCAGAGTTGCCGAGAGAAAGTGCTGCAGGGAAGGTATAGTCTTTACTAAGCCTGAACCTTGATTAGTGGAAGGTTTACGCGGACGCTCCTCTGACGTGAAGCTGTGCGTTGCTTCTCCTCCAACTCTTTCAGAGACGAACGTCGAGAAGTTTACCTTAGTTTGGAGATTCGCCAATGATTTTGGCCGCTTAATTTTTCAGCTTGGCTTGGAGGAGGGAGGAAGAGATGATGCAGAAGTACGCGCCATCGTTTTGTTCTGCAGAACTTTGGGACGACTCCGCTTCAGAGTGCTCCCTTAATTGAAAAAAAAGAAATAAAATGCATTGGAAAAACTTGCGCTAAAGACCACAGCATTGTTTCGCCCTACATCGCACGAACCACTGTTGCTTCATCAAAATTAAGCCCCGTAAAGAGAGAAGTTGCCGTCTCCCACGTACCCACTCCATGCTCAGCACGCGCTATCCTGAAAGTGCGGCTTTTGCGTCTATGCTAAGATCTCGCAACGAAAAAGGTGCTCAACGGAAGAGTACAACCACGGAATGAGAGGGCGCAGACAAGAAGCGCGTTTGGCCATGCCAAGCGTGCGTGCGGCAGCGCAAGACGAGAGCACGGGTCGTCGGCGATTGCCGAGGGGGGATCATCGCTACGCTCTACCGCGAGTTACTGCAAACATATTGAGCGTAAAAGGGGTGGCACGCTCCTGCAAGCTTGCGAAACTCATTCTCCCCTCACATGAAGCAGTCCTTTCAGTCAGAAGAATAAGTGCACGGGCTACAGTTGAGCTATCTATCAGGATTTTCTCTGACGTTTTCTCTGAGATTCATTCATTATTACGATCACTTTTCAGATATGGAGGTGGTGGATTTATATGGACTGCTGAAATTCCGGGTAAAAAAGGCTTGGGTAAAAGTGCTGCTCACATGTATTTCGCTTGTGGCCTTGGAGTGTTAATAGTTTTATGTCGAGATTCCACGTTTGTACGATTTTCCATAAAAGGTATGTACAAAGGATGTTACTTTTGTAAATCATTTAGAATAACTCAATGAATTGCAGGTGCCGAGTTAACCGCTCGATCGGTTTTGCATGAAACGAGATTGAAGAAGATTACTAGTTGTTGCATGCTCCAACGAGCAAATGTTCATGAGTCTGTTCTCCTCATAGGTAAGATCGGTCTTCTCTCGGTTACTGTACGTTTACTTGCAAAGCTGATCCGTATCACATGTAAGCGGGGGGGGGGGGTCCATGACTATAGTACTGTGGAACTTTCGCCATATGGGTAAGCGCGGAAACAGAGCTGGAAGATTACCATTGTTCCGCCTTAAATTCGACCCGTGATATGCACGCTACACGGTATTACAGGTTCGCTACGGGGCCTAGGAGATCAGGTTACGCAGCGAACGGCCTGGCACGCTTGCGGAGTCAAACTGTGGAGCCCCCGCAAAACGCTAGAGGGCGCAGACGTGTTAAGCGTGTGACTGGCCGTGCTGCGTGTCGCCTTATTGTGATCTACTCGTCGCGTGTTGAATGGTGGGCGTTGACATAAAGAAAGCCCTCTTATAATACCTGTTCCGCTTCATTTGCGCCATGTTTCTTAACGCCAAGTAGCTTTTTAAACTTACTCTACCAGCTTGACTCCTTCTTCATAAGGGCAGAATCGCGGTTTCACTATCCACAATGGGCCTCAGGATGACTAGTCCGTGAATGACGATTTTTCCAGCTGACAGTGTAATTTTAAATCAATCCGCATTTAAGGTACGGTATCCGGAAATGTTTTCGCCTTGGATATCAACTCCCTGGAGCTCTCGGAATACATTGTTTTTGAGGACTGTTTGCTGCAGAGGTGAATTACCAGTTATTTAGCTTCACCATGTCATAGCTTACCTTACCATTTTGCAGAATTCCGGAAAGTTCAAAGCAAGAAAAATATCCTGTAGATTTGTTATCTGTTTGTCCAACTAAACCGAGGCTCACAATAATGGTGTTGAATCACTGCCTGCTTATTTCGTATGATTCCTCTACTAATGAAGTTCTGGGGACTAATTTGTTAGACGTTCAATGCAAGGTAAGTTTTTGATTTGTTCCATTATTTTTCCAATTTTTTGTTGCACGTTGTTAACACTGTAAATGTTTTGTTTTATCATATGAAACCCAAAACCATTTTTCGTACTCTAGTAATCAATTCACGCGTGAGGTGTTATTTTGTTGTCAGATCGCTGTATGGTGTAGGCGTCCATTTTACCGCGTGCTTTCTGGTAACCCTGCTCTCGGCCACGTTTGCGCGAGGTTCATCTTTTGAGTGGCAGAACCTATTCAGCGAGTGATGTCTCCTACTCTTGTATAAAACGACGCCAAGCTTCGTAACCTGATTTCAATCGCCTGACTATTTCGCAATTTCTGTGGCGTTGCCCCTCCGTTGCCTCCAATCGGTTTATACAGTCTTAGTCGTCGCAGATGAAGGGGTGTCAGGCGGGAAGCGTTAGGCGTTGCGCCAAACCCGTTCTCCACGAGCTGAAGCAGCTAAGCGACAACAGTCGCTCTACCGTCGATACGGTTTAGCTGCCTGCTCGCTACAGCAACTGGTCGAAAACAGGTTTGCGCGCACAGGGCATCACCCCGCCCGACCCCTCCACCTATCGCAGCGCTCAGAGAAGGTATTGCTGTCGTCATGCTGAAGGGAGTACGCCGTGAGTTGCTACCCCCTGTGGTCAAGTTGAGCGACCTGGGACATGTTGTGGGCATGGGGTGTAGTGGTACTACGTCTCCAGGGGTCACGTTGTCAACCGGGAAAAGCTCCTCTTTTTCTGCTTTTTTGCTTCTCTCCTGTCGCTTCTTTCTCGGCTTCATTACTTGCTCTTGTCTCCTCCTCTACCTCTCCATTCACACTGAACTGGTAGATGCCTCGTGAAAATACCCTTGGACCCTCGCAGCGAGGGATCGTCTCTTGACTACTATGCATGGGAAAGGGTTACCCATTGTTGAGAGGTGTTGGTGCGCTGGTACCTGTCTTTATGTCAAGAATTAATAACGTTGTATTGGACAAGAACATGCCAAAACCTAATTGCGAACCATATGGCCTTTTGATCATTTCCGAAATAGCCGAAGCTGCCTTCATATTTTACGGTGGAAGTTTGGGATAACCGGCGAATCGAAGTTTTGGGAGAATGCGCCAACGGAGTTGAAGGAGTATCTGTCGGCACGGCTAGCTAGTGAATCGGCGTTTCGGGAGAACGCGCATTCTCTCGAACCATCGGTTCACAGATTCTCGTACTGTTCTTTCCAGATCGATACCTATACTTTCATTGAGGTTTAGTCGGATAGATCAGATCTAGGTCACGGCAGCTCGTCCCCCGAGCCATTGTTTTCCGCAGTTGCGACCTGCGTGCGGTTGCGTAAGCCGAGAGGCTACTGCAACCTTACGCAGTCGTATACAGCTATGGATGGCCCGTGGGACGTACGCTGAAATACCTGACTGGTTGAGTCCACTAGTTAGAATGGGCTGATTCACGTGTGATGCCGCGTGTCCAGTGTGATGAACTACACCCTTTTCCTTTACACGCATTCTAAAAACGTT